GAAGAGAAAACAAACAACAAAAATATAAATTACATTTATTATGAACACCAGCATTTTCCAACAAGTCCAACCACTATTTCGCTTTAAAGTAAAACAAGCTGGAATCGTGTGAGCTGAAGGCAGCCAGAGCATCAGCAGGGTCAGAAACATCCAGCACCTGGAGGAATGGGAAGAAGCCCCAGTTTGTTGTCCCATCCCCATCACTGCACACATTGCACTGCAGGCAGCTGGCGGGGCAGCTGGGACTGCACTGGGGCCAGCCAGCAGGAGGATGGCAATCAGCTCCGCAGCAGGGGGAAGCGGGCCGTGGCATGGAGCAAAAATGGGACAGGTGGCTTTTCTGTGCCACACAAACAAAATAACGAGGACACTGTATGTGAGAACATCCCTAATCCATAAAGCAATTCCAAATGATGCAACTTCCAGCTTGTGCCAAGGGGCCGAGCATTCACTCGACACTCCCCAGATGGAGAGAAGACTGAGGCAGCTCTCCTGGGTGCTCCCAGGCAGCGTGGGTGAAAGCAGGGCGAGAAAAACCAGAAGGGATGCTGATGCCGTCCCACGCAGGCTGACCCACTCCCAGCTCTGGCTCAGGGCAGTCAGACACCAATGTCATCGCCTGGCCGGCACCACGCACTGCCTGGTGATAGCGGCCTGGATGTCAGGGCTGACGATGGGTCACTGCAGCGACACAGCTTCCTAGTGAGGCCATCTGGAGCCAGATACAGCCCCAGTGTGCAGGAACCAGCTAGTCTTGGGCTGAGCCAACAGCGCAGTCACTGTTTTTCCCTTGGGTCCTGCCCAAACCTTGTTACAGATACGTGACCTCGATGACGTTGGGTTCGATGCTCCCACAGGGCAGGTGGTGCTTGCAGGAGCACTGGCAGCTCAGGTTGCCACCCGGCTCCCACTGCCCAGGCTGAGTGGGCTTCTTCTGGGAGCCCAGCTTCCTCCAGTCCATGAGATGCACCCCGTCATCCAGGTCCTGCGGCATGGGCTCATGGTAAAGGGTGATCTGGATGGTGCGGAGCTGCGGGCCGTAGTGCACCATGACAATGATGAAGATGGCCAGGAGGACAAAGATGACGACGATGGCTGAGATGACGGGCAGGGCATCAGACTTCTTTGTCATGCTCCTGACCACGGAGATGGGAGTGAAGGCAGCTGCATCCTGGGGCTCGGGGTGCCTCAGTGGGCTGCCGGGTGCTGAGGCGTTCATGGCTGAGCAAGGTGACCTGGGACAGAGGGTGGAAAGGTGTTGTTGTCAGACAGGGGCTGTCTGGTGTCCTCATCTCCTGCCCTTGGCTCAGTAGCTCCTGCCTGTAGCTTCACATGCAGCTCCCCAGGCATGGAATCTTGGAAGAAGGCACTGGATGCCTTTTCCTTCAGAGTGCAGGGAAAAGATTCAGCCTGAGATAAGGACTCTGGGCATCGAGCAAGCCCCATGGAGCAACATGCAACTCCAGACTGGATATGGTCAGGATAAGTGCTCATCCCAACCACGTGCCCTGCAGAAAGGCAGCAGCCTGTCACACAGCCCTGCACAGTGAGCAGTGGCACCCAGGAGCTTTAACCAGACCAAACATGAGCAAAACGTTCACTTGGCTGCCCAGTGTGACCAGGCGAGTGCTTTTTGCTGGCAGAAACCTGGCCCCAGTGGAACAGGGCTGTCCCTGGGTGTTCCCCCCCACCCCCAGGCTCACAGGACAGAGTAAATTTTGGTGCTGACATCTGTGTTGTAGGGGCGGTGACCATTCAGCCAGGTGGTCAGCAGAGAACAGTGGGAAGACACCGCCCTGCATCTCCTTATCCCAGGCACCTTCAGTGGGGGTCCCCTCTCCCCACTGCCTCCATTGATGGAGACTCCTAGAGGAGGAGACTCCACCGCTCCCTCTTCCCCCATCCCCAGAGCCAACACCAGACCAAACCCCGTGGGAGGCCCAACCCTACCAAAGTATTTGCGGGTCAGGCAGGGCAGAAAGCTGGCAGAGAGGAGCAGCGGGAGGGAAAGGGGAAAGAGAGGAGAGAAAGCCCGCCCCAGGGTACCTGGGCGTCCTGCTCCGGGGGAAGCATCACCTCCAGCGGGACAGGGCAGCAGAGCAGCTGCAGGAAGGTGCTGCGGGGCGGCAGGGCTCACCTCAAGCTGCCACGTCACGCCCGGGGCTCCCCGCGCAGGAGGAAGCGCCTGCTCATCCCACAGCGAGAGGTGCTGCCCTACCTAAGGCAGTGCCACATCAGCACGCCCGGCTGCCATGTGCGGGGACACCGCAGCACCCTCCGCCGGCCCCGCCGCGCTGCCGCCTGTCAGACAAGCGGCTTTTGTTCGGGGAGAGAGCACCTCCCGGCCCTCGGTGCGCACAGCCCCGGCTCTGCAACCGCAGGAAGCCCCCCTCCTTTCCCTGACTTGGATTGAAACGTTGTTGCGTTTAGAAATTAGCGTAAAAACCGCTCTTCTTTGCGCGAGCTCTTTGCTCAATTCGGCAAAAGGTGTCTCCGCTACTCCCCGAGCTGCGAGGATCCTCGCCTTCAGATCAGGCAGCTCCGAGGCTGAGCGCTCCTGCAGCAGGACCGATGCGGCGAGCAGAGCGCCGTGCGCCGCGCATGGATGGAGCGCACACGGCCAGCTTCCCGTTCGCCTTAGGGCAGCCGAGGAGCCCTCGCTGCTCACAAAAAGCTGCTGCTCGGCCATGAACACTTCACAGCACAGCTGCTGCTAGCTGTAAACAGGGCGTGCAGAGATCTTAAGGTCCAGCACCTCAGAAATACCACACACTGTCTGTGAGCACTCCTGGGATGCAGGGTCACAAACAGCTCTGCAGACCCAGGGCTGCTCAGGGCAATGCAGGGCCAAGGCAGTGCCTGCATGTCCCTCCCTTGCACCGTGGCCGCGGGCACTGCCCGGCACCAATCACCTCCGTGCAGGTGGCTGCTGTTTCCAGGGTGGTCAGATCTCACACCAGCAGTGACCTCAGCACATCACCATGCAGAAAAGATGGATCTTACAGAGCTTTGGCACTCAGGGTCATGGTTTAGTGGGCATGGTGGAGGTGGGCTACCAATTGGATTTGGCATCCTGGAGGTCTTTTCCAGCTGTAATGAGTCCATGATTTGTTTTTGCAAAGCCCTTATGAAACACCTCCCAACGCTCCCGTCCCAGAACAGAACTGTCCTACCTGCTCCTGCCTCTTAGCACACCGTCCTGGAATATTTGTGCTCCATCCCTCCTGGGCACTGCAGGGTGGGTGATGCCCCGTCCCCCACACAGCCCAGCAAGCTCCCAGTAGTGATCTGGCTGCACATCAGAGCTGCTGCTTCTGGGAATTTGCACTCATCTCAGGATTCAGTAAAACCTTAATCTACAGCGTAATCTCTGAGCATCACATCTGTGCAAGAGGAAAAAAACATTAAGGGTTGTGGGGGGAGGCTGCTCACAGAGGTTTTGTAAAAGCAAAGCTTTGGGCCTGATGGCTTACTGGTGTGTGTGGAGCCCCATGTGGTTTGTGGGGTACCTGCACCCACCTCATGGCTGCAGAAAGCAGGGCCCTGTGAGCAGCACCAGGACCTCCCAGTGCCTTCTGTGCAGTGACACACAGTGAAGGAGCCCTGCAGCCCTGACACCCACAGCTGGGGCTCTGGAGCATTCCAGGGCTGCAGGAGGGGCTGGATGTGGCCCCTGGAGACAGGGAAGGGCTGTGACAAATGGCCCAGGGCAGGAGTTGCAAAGTTTCCACTCCCCCAAACGCCTGTCCCCAGCGTCCAGCCTCTCCTGGGCTGCCAAAGGGACAGCCCCATTTTTCCTAAGTAGGGCACTTTGTAAGGCAGCAAAAGGCTTTTCACCTTGCCGGAGCATGGCCTTGCAAGGGTCCTAGGCTGGGAGAAGCAGCCCCTGCCAGCAGCCATCTGGGAATGGGATGGATTGCTGCCAGCCTGACCCATCAGCCCAGCTGGGACTCTCCTCCCTTTAAGCAACCAGGTTAGGGGAGGCTGAAGCCTGCTTTGTGCTGTCCATGCTGCTGCTGCCCAAACAACCGCATCCCACAGCCAGCACGTCCCAGTGCCCAGCCCTGCTGGAGCTGCACAGGGAGGAACAGGACATGGGCACAGCACAAGGCAGCTCCAGCTGTGAGATTCTCTCCCCACTCCAAATCTCTCTCAGGGATTCTAAGAAGTCCCCTCTCAGGTGGAGGGCAGGAGCGGCTCCCGTGGCCCAGCACAACTCTAATGACTGATGAGGAGCAGAACCAGACCTGCGGCACCTGCGGTAAGCCAAACACATCTCCAAAAAGCAGTACCATACAGAAGCTACCAAGGCCCAAATCCAGGCAGGCCCATTATGCCTCTGTTCTCCCTCTCTATGAGAAGCAAATTCCCCAACAAATCAATGGCGAGGTTTCCTTTGCCGTCGGTAAGCGATGTCTCATATCCTCTTCGACCATAATGGACTAAAAAACACAGTTCCCCTGTGGATTCAGCTCGTTTCCTTCTATTCTTTAACAGGAAGCTCTGCAAGAATCAGCCCAGGCAGGCAGACCTCTCCTCACCCTCTCACACTCGGGATGGACAGAACCTCTGCAGGGCTGCTCAGCTCCACGCCGCTATGCTGGCTCCAGCCCTCCATCCGCTCCTGTGGCTGTTTGGCTGCGTGCTGCTCAGAGGTAAGGAGCAATGGGGCAAGGGCAGGGGGCAGCTGTGGGGAGCCCAGCTGTGGGCACTGAAGGGAAGCAGCCAGAGGAGGAGCGGCTGCTAGCAGGGAGCTCAGACTTTATTCAGGGTGCTGGGATCAACCCGGCCCCAGCAGGTTTTGCAGGCTTTATTTGACTGTGCTGAAATCACAGAACCTGTTTCCTGGTTAAGGAAAGGATTGTTTCTGTTAGTGATACAGAGGTGTTTCATAGCAAGTGACTGTTGTCAATTGAGGATGAAGGTGGAATTTTAAACGTATGGGACGTTTTCCTCACCTTTATTTTCTCCTCTTGCTGATGTAAACACAAAGAGCACGTGGCACTAAGACTCCTGCAGTACATTATTGCCATAACTCTGCTTCTGACTTCCCTGTCGCCCTCTGCTCGTGGTATGGGATGCAGTGAGGATACCCAAGGATCCAGGCTCCTGCTGAAGTGTGACAGGTCGCTGTCCTGCAGTCAGTGACAGCTGTAGCAGCTTTCAGCCTAAAGGCAGTCAGAGGAACGGATGCTGCAGTATCACTGCTGCTTCTACTAGTCAGCCACCTGAACTAATATCATGTGTCTTGGATCCAAAGCTTTTATCACTAAGCCATGGAAGATGTCCATGGGTTGCAGCCCCTGCATTGGTAGAAACAGGATTTTTAAAGGACAGTGACTATAAAGACAATTCAGCTGCTTGCTGTGCAATTCTCAGAAAGAAAAGCACATTGATTAGAAAATGTTTCTCTTAACTAGAGGGCAACACAGCTGGTTTCAGCAGAGGGGTGAAGTGTGCCGGACAAGGAATTCTGAGGCCCTTGGCTCTGCTGCTACATTTCTTAATACCCGGCCAGAATGCTTTTTTTCTCCTTGAAAATATTAGTTATGGCATGCACAGGACAGAAATGTCCTGCAGGTTGCCAGCACTCGCTCTGAGCAGCTCCATTACCCCAGGACCCAAACCCTGCTGTGCACCAAACCTTCAGCTGATGGCACCACCCAAAGGATTCACTTCTCAGGTTGACCCCAGCACTGTAGGATTGGGTGGAAGGGTCACCTCTGTCCCCTGGTCCTAAGCACATCACTTGGGAGCTCTGTCCTCTGTATTCTGCTTCAAATGATGGGGCAGGGGCTGCTCTCACTGCCAGCACCTGCAAACCATGACAGCACTGCTGTGCTGAACTTGCACCTCTCTGGCTTCAGGTAGAACCAGCTTCCAACATCATCTCGTGCTTTGCCTCTGATCTTTGCACGGCCACTGATACAGCAGCTCAGAACTGTCATAATTTTCACTTCACCTTTGGTGCTATGGAAAAGTCATCAACACAGCCTGGTACTCGAGGGGCAGCTGCTGCAAAAGGCGAAGCAGCAGGCTCAGAGCAAGGGGCACAGGTTGGTCAGCAATGCTGCTCCCAGAACATGGGCTGCTGAAGGGAATGAAGGGCTCTTAAATGAGACAAGGCTGCTCGGAGGTCTCCATGCACCTGAGGAGGTGGAAATTACATTTTGGAGGTCCAAAGTTGGTCAGAATAGCCGTAAACTTGTAACTGCCAGTTCTTTCATTCCTTAAAGCTTGGTTACGGTTATTTCTAAAAGAAGGTTCAACTTCTGTTACTGTGGAATTTCTCAAGTGGGAAGTTCTGGAACTCTTCCAACCTATTTTTCATCCCCAAGAAATGCTTAATGAAAACGTATCCAAACACACCTCTTCCTATGAGCAGTTTCCATTACGACCAGCAGGCACTTCCCAGACAAAAGCTTTCCACTGGAAAACTCCTTCTGCAAGCTGAGGAGAACCCAGCAGCATTTCCCCACTGACTGCTGCTCCCCTTACCTGCACTGCAGCCAGTGAGTGAATGGATAATGCCACAGTGAAGGTGCCACAGATATGATCCCAACCACGGGATGCAGCTAAAGGGCAAACATCCAGCTAGCAGGAGATCTCCAGACAGGACTTCCATCCTAACAAGTATCGAGGGCACTCTACAACTGAGTCTTACTGCTTGTGCTGTCTTGTTCCTCAGGCAATGAGAACAGAACTCGAGTTTTATGTTCTCCAATGGTCGTGAGATCACATAACAGAAGAGACTTGTGCAGCCCCACTCGCACCAAATTATGATGTTCTTAAAATGCATTTGCCAAGATGTCTTTTATGCTTGCTGCCACTCTAGGGAATGCATCTTGTTCAGATCCTGCTTCTTTCAGCAGTGGCAGAACGCCCCTGTGTCTTTGCAGAGGGGTATTTTCACTGCTGATCTCTGCCCACAGCAGGTGACACCCAGTGTTATCCCCAAGATCCCTTCCTGACTCTTCTTGGCCAAAAAAGGCAGGTCAGCACAGCCCTGTCTGGTGTACCAGGAAGAGAAACCAGGAGTGGTTTGAAGTGTTTGTTCAGAAAACAAACTGCTCCCCTCTGGTAAGGTGAAACTCAGCCGATGACACTGCAGAAATGATAGAAGTAGCTGGGGATCGTTTCCAGCAATTATGTTTCCTTACAATAGGTGAGTCAGCAGCAGGTGTCCTTGCAGGAGACGCTGCTGGTAACCCAACGGCAAGAATGCTCCTGCTGGGAAAACACACACAAGGGCTTGAGCCCGGGCTGGAGAAGGGAGATCAGTGCCTCACACAGCACAAGTACTACCAAGCCCTGGCTAGAAGGTCTCCTTATTCCACATCCCAGATGGCCCCACTCAGTGTGATCCAACCACAACGAGAAGCAGTTTCCCATCAGTCTTTTTTATAGACTTATGGGCTGGGGGCTGTTTTACATCTCAGCTGAACTGTTTCAGGAAGAGGGAGGAGCAAAGCCCCCTCTACCATCTGAGACTGCAGTGCTCTTTGGGGGGCAAAGCATTGGAACAGGCCGCCCAGAGAGCTGGCGGGGTCCCCTTTCCTGGAGATATTCAAGACCCATCTGGACACCTTCCTGTGCAAGCAGCTGTAAGGAACCTGTTTTAGTAAGGAGTTGGACTCAGTGATGTCCAGAGGTCCCTTCCGACCCTTGTGATCCTGTAATTCTGTGACATAGAAATGTGGAGTGTGTCCACCTGCTCTCCAGGAGAAGCCCTCCACTGCTGGGACAGCAACCAGCAGTTCTCAGTGGGGGAGGAGATGCTTTCCCACCATCAGGCACGGCTGCAAATCACACACCTATCTATGGGCAGCACAGCTCTGGGCAAGCAGCTCCAGGCAAACAGATCCATACACTCACATTGCCCAGATGCGACTCTGGAGTTGCAAAAAAGCTTTGGAGTCAGAGCAATCAGAAGTCAGGGAGCAGCATGGCATAGTGACAATGCAGTGGATGGGGACCAAGGACCACTGTGTGTTGTGCCTGCCACTTAACAAGTGGTATAACACTTCTGTGCCTTGTTTTCCCCAGATATGAGATAAGGGTAATAAAAAGACTTCCTCCAAGGAGTGCTTTGGAATCTAGGAATAAAACATAGGTGACATGAGAGTCACTCACCTAAAATTTGAAGCCAGATGAAGTTTGTCAGGTCAAGAAGCTTTGCTTGCCTCTTCTACAAGACATGGTGTCTCAGGGAGCAGCAGGGAGGTACCTCCTCAGCACTGATACAGAGAAAATGAATGCATCTGAGCAGGGCAGGCTTCACCTGTCCTTCAGCCACTCCCCTGAGGTTGAAAGCAGGTGATCTGAGAAGAGAAAGCAAAAAGAATGAGGATTAGGAAAGCTCCCCAGGGCTCCAGCCCCTGACACACCTCACCTCCTAGCTCACCAGATGGGAACTGAGCCCACCCAGCAGATCCTATTCCTGCATGGTGCTCCACGAACACAGCTGTTAGCAGCAGCACCCCGCTCTGCCAGTGTGAACGTGGGGGAAATCTTGGAAAGAGAAAACTGGGGAATAAACTGTGGCATAGAGCCTCCATAGATGGAGGGTAGTGAGATATGCCTGATAGGTACCAGCCCTGATCCATCACGTTGGCTGTGCTGCTGCAGGGGGTGGTGATTTGTGTGCTCTGCTGATAGCTGCCCAGAGGTACAGCACAGGAGCAAATTCAGCAGCTGATCTCCTGCACCAGCTGGAACACACGACATTTGGTTAGGAACTAAATCCTACAAAATAATGAGGACCACCTGCAAGGCGACCTGTACATCAGCAGGGCCTTGGCTGAGAGCCTAATTAAGGTGTGAAAGCAGCAGTGCTAAACCAGCCTGCAACTCGCAGTGCTTTTCTGCACCCTGCTTTCCCCATCTACACAAAAACAGCATTCTGAAACAAAGAGGTTGTAGAGAAAGCAGCTGGGAGGGCTGCAGCACAGTGTCCTGCTGGGAGCAGCTTTACTTCCCAGTCCCTGCAGAGAAGTGCCCAGAGGGGTGCAGAGGGCACAGGCCAGGAAAGAAAAGTATGCTGACACACACAGTGATGTTACAGGGCCCATTCTGTGCCCTGTGGTTTCCCACGTTGTTTCTCTTCTGGCTTGTTTTCTAAATTCAAGTGGTTTTTAATTGCCTACTGCAAGAAGCCTGACCTGCTCACAGCAGCTCACTGGAGAGGATCACAGAGGAGGATGCTTGCAGAAGATGCTCATCACAGGGTGCAGACCTGGGGGGGAGGGCAGTGGAAGGCTAGGATGGTTCTGAATCCCTAACGAGATCCAGATTTAATTCCTGCCTCTCTAAACTTTCCGTAACACTTTGACCAAGTCATTACCATTCAGAACCACGTAGCAGTGAATTGCCAAACCCCTCGAATGTCAGCTGAGAATTAGGTGTTTTAATACCTCTGTGGGTCTGGGACCTAATTTAGACTGTCAGTTATCAAGTCTGCATAATGACACTTTTCCTCTCTTCCCCACCTTTTCTGCCTCAACCTGTGAGACCTGGCAGGCAGAGGCACCTGTTCTTATTTGTTCCCATTTCTATTAAAACGGGACTGAGACTTTTGCAGAGCTCTTCATTTTCCAGGTTTCCTAATGCAGCATTTTCTTTCACGTAGAAATGATGACAGTTTGGTGTTGTTGCTCTCTGCTGCTTGAACAGCTGCTGTGTTTCACCCAGGAAACAGCTGCACTTGCGTTGTGGGTCAGCATATTTTTGTCTTGTTATCTAATTTTAGGTGGTTGGGTCTCTTTCCTGAAAGCCTTTGTTTATGTAAGCTGCAAGCAGAGGTGCAGCAAGCCTGTAGGCTTCAGGGCAAACCGACACGCAGTGAGCACAGGCAGGGCACTATCAGATCTCCCCCCAGTTGCAATGGAAAAGAGTGCCATGAGCCCAGCACTACCCACCTGGGCCAGAGGGTCCCTCCCCCCATCAGTTCTGAGTGGATGGGACCAGTGCCTTTGTACTGATGCCAGAGATCTTCCTATGTGAATCCATATGGCTCTGGGAACACCTCAGCTGCCATGGAAAGGCCCCTCTGCTCGCAGCCTAACTCTCACTTCCACCATTTCTGAAGGACTACAGCAAATAAAAGAAATCCAAATTTCCCTTCTTATATTCTGGAAAAAAAAAAATTAACTAAGAAAAACCAGCTCTTAGTCGGAGAGACAAAATGCATCTGCAGCCTCAACACGCTTCCCCAGAGCCCCATTGATCTGGTCACTAATCAGGAGTTTCCCTTTCCAGCAAGAGCAGAAAGCATGATTTCCCATTGTAAATCCCTCAGCAAGCTCGCCGTCCCCACCTAGAAACACACAATCCCTCTGTAAATCACTGGCACCCAAACACTCAACAAACAGCTCTGCTCAGCAGCAAGAAGTCGCCTGAATGGCTTTGATGTTGATTGCAATTACAGCTGTGCTGGCTGCGTGCTGCATTCACTGTTTATATAGCCACTGTGCCACAGGGGGAGGGGGGCTGTGCTGGGACAGGCTGCTGTCACACTGTGGTGTGATTGGCAGTGGGGTCCCCGGGGAGCTGTGGCACCGTGCTGCGCCCACATCCTGCTGCCCAGCCCCACAGCACAGCTTGCATTGCTCCCTGCTGCGCACACGGCTGTCTGCAGTCATTCAGTGGGATGCTGAGCACCTTTGCTGGAAGAAAACACCTAACAAAGTGGGGCTGTTGATTATTTAAGTTGGCAGAGAAGCTGTAACAAAAAAGCAGAGGCCAGAAGTCGGAGCCAGGCGTGCTTTGCTTTGAAACAACGTGCTGCTGTGTTTATAGAAGGGCCATTTATTACAGAGCCAAGTGCCAAAAACAGATCTGCGTCCCTTGGCCTCTTCGCAGCAAGATGGTCACCTCTCTGCAGCAAAGCTCCAATGCAGCAAACCTGGGTGAGCAGTTCCCTGCATGGGGGAACTGCAGTGACTCCAGGGTTCATTTTGGCACAGTGATCTTTGAGGACGTTTTATGAGGCAGTGCTCAGGGGTGAGCTGGTTAGCAAAGAGCTGAGCTGTTGTGGAAGAGTACTGAGAACATCTGCCTCTCATCTCAGCACTGGGAGATCCTGAGCTTCATAGTGCAGGGCATCACAGCACAGGGCAGTAAAGCCATCTCCTTTTTCCCACCCCTAGAGGCCCAGCTCAAGCTCTTGAATTTCTTCTCAGTTACGCCAAAAATAAACTGCCAGCTCAGAAGCCTTTGTCCCACCTTTTCCTCAACAAAGAGGATGCTTTCATGTTATGTGTACATTAAAAAGCACCTGTGACAGCTTCAAGAAGCAAATGTGTCACAAGCAATTACTCTCCTCATGAAGGAACAAGATGGTCTCTATAAGGAAGTCTAAAAAAGACAAGCTGTTTGAGTTTGGCAGGTACCAGAGGTCCCATGATTATCTCTGCTGTTTGCAGAGTGCTTTAAGGCATGTGCAAACCAGCACCCAGAAATTGTATTGCAAAGCTGCTTTAGAAGAAGCCAGTGCCAAAGAGAAAGCCTGGCAAACAATTGGGATCAATGGGCAGCATCTCACATTGCAATTGTGTGCACTCCTCTTTCCCTAAAGAAGCATCTCTACTTCTTCAAGGAGAACCGTGTGCCCAAAAGATCTCATCCTCCCCTGGGGTGCTGTCGATTCAGAAAATGGTGTTGCATCTGCCTGTAATTCCCATTCACAGTACCAGACCGACATTCATTTAGCCTGCTCTTCAAAAGCTCCAAAGGCTGTCCCATAATTCTCACACACAATCACTTGCTGCGACTCACTACCCTTATGTCAAGACAGTTTCCTATTGCCCCCCTTTTTATGGCTGCAGTGCAAGTCCTTGTTTTCTGATCCTGTTCCCAATGGATGCAGAAATCAGATTAGTCTCTTCCTGTCTGTGTAATTAAAGATATAATCACATCTCCTCTCCCCCTTCCCTTGTAAGGACCAGACAAGACATGTTTCACCAACCTGATGTCCAGTAAACCAGAACATCAAAGCATGGAAGAGTTCCGAAAAGCCAAGCTCATAGCCAAACCCCAAACTGAAAGAGGCTGTTTTATTATGTGCTCAGTGATTTACACTCTGTTTTGGTTCCTGTTTGGCTGGGATCGTTGTCATAAAGCCTTGGAGGAAAAAACAATTATGGCCCCAAGACAGTTGCATGAGAAAAATGACATCAGTCAGGAGCACGCCAGAGCCAGGCAGTCCCTGTGGGGTGAGCTCTGAGCCCAGCAGTGATGACCCCCACACGCTGCAGATCCCATTCCAACATCAGGACATTCACCTGAGCTCTCCCAGAATCTCTACAGCACAGGTACCTACCGTGATGTGCATCATCACCTCCACGGCTCCCAGCAAGAGACGGGACATCGCAGGCTGCGTCTCCTCTCCCTGTACAGCAGCAATCTAAAATAGATCAGATCAGTGGGGATTTAGAAGTGCCTGATCCTCTCTTTGATGAGAAAGGGAGCCTGGAGATTAGCTCTCTTGCAGGCGGGCTCACAAAAGAGGTACGAGAACAGGTGAGATGGACCGTGCGTGTTGGGAGGACAGAATCTGGCTGCAAGCAGGCACACAAACACTGTGCTGTTTGCTGGATCTCCCCATGGGTCGTCAGCTCTTGCAAAGAGGACTCAGCCCTCACTGCTGTCCCTTTTTGTCCAAAACTTGGAGGAACTATCAGCTGTTGTGGGATGGATCACCAGCAGGGCTGCATTCTTTTGGGTTTCATGGCTGTAATGTAGTTTCTTTCATGCCTCTTAACTAAGGGCAGCATTGCTATCACCAGCAATAATCATATTAAAATGTTACACAATTAGGAGGTGTGTTTCAGTAACGGCAGAAAGGTCACTTCTTCAAAGTTAAGCCAGTTGGTTTTGATTCAAGCATTGTGTGTATTTACATCCTGCAGTCTTTATTCCCTGTTATGGAACTGGGTAGTTCTTTCCCTTTTTATATGGCAACGTTTTTAATTGGCACCTGTCTAATCATAGGATTCCAGGAGCTGAAGCTTAAAGAAAACATCAGAGAGTAGACAATGTGGAAGATGGTGAAGGAATGTCTTGCTGTAAACCCAAAAACATTCAGTTGAGAAAACAGTCCCATTAGCTCCTGGCAACCTTCACAAACCTCATCTATCCACTCATTAAGGTCTCAAGGGTCTCAAAGCATTCCAAAACAACTCTTTTAAACAACTCTAGAAAAAACAGGTCAAATGGCCTTTCTGTGCCAAGGCTGAGCAGGAGGCAAGAAGCTCACAAGGAGAGAGCAGTGCTACTGATTTGTATGGCCTTGTATTTTCTCCATGAGAGAGGAAGGAGGTTGACTAAAGAGTTTGGTTTTGTGCAGAGAGAAGGGCATTTATCCTGACTGAACAAACTGCAGTTCTGATTTACTCAGAAATGAATGTCCTTGTATTCAAGCACATAATTTCCAGCAGTGTTGGTTACTACTTCTTATCCAGTGCTTTTCGGGAAATCACGTATTTCAAAGTCATTCCTTCAGAAGATGAGGGAAACCCAAATCACACAGCAAGAACACTGACGTGCTGGTGAAAGTTACGGTCACAGGTTGGCACTGCTAACGCTTCTGTTGTTCCATTTCAGGTACTACAGCTGCCACAGCCTCCTCCATCCACAATGTCACAGGTACCTCCTGGGTTGGGATCCGATGTAAATGCCCATTGGGATGTGGGTGCACATGCC